TCCTTACAATCAATATACCCATGCCTTACAATCAATATACCCATGCCAATGGTCAGAGTACTGTTCCTGGCAATGAAAGCTGACTGACAGCCTAGGCTCACAGAGAAACTCAGGTAAGGGAAATATCTCTCCTGAACTATTAAAGTTTGTGCAGCTCCCAGTCTTCATTTCACATTGTTGTGAAGGTGCAGCTGATTGCTTTGGAGCTGCTTTCAGGTCAGCCAGGGTAAAGTCCTGGCTCTTCTGCAGCCTATGACAAACCCCATAAGCCCAGATTTCATCTCCATGTTTCAGGAGTTTATAAGCACAGAGCAGCATTAAGTGCTGCAGTGGTTGGGGGCAGGGGAGAGAAAAAAAGCCTCACTGGTTTTACATCTTAGATAAGCAACTGTATTTGCTAAAATAATCTCATTCCAAAGCAAACATATTTGATTCTTTAGAAATGTGCTTCTTATCAGTGACAAACATTTGAACAAGCTCTATGAATGGTGCTTCTTACTGATTTTTCAGTAACAATCAAATGTTTCATTGTTTCAATTAAAGCTTGGTCTTTCACTTAGAGACTTACTGTCCAATTGTAAAATGACTGATTGACTGCAATTACAAAGCAAGATGAATTATTTGTCTTCTTTTCAGACTAAAGAACATTAGTGTAGGGTTTTATTGTTTAAGGGGGTCAATGTGTTTCATTATGTACTCACAGAGAATAGCTCAATGATACTCCAGCAACCAGTTATATGGACTGTTTTTATTGGCAGCAGAAGAAACCAAATACTGCACAGCTTATCGGGCTGTAGAAATGAAATGCAATAATGAAGTTCTCAAGCAAGCAGAATCAAGCATACCTGTGTTATTCCCTTTTTGCACTAAGTGTATGAAGTATTGCAGGAACTGCTCTCTGTAGAAACATGTCTCTGTTCTATCATACATAATTCAGGTTTTCCAATTCCCCGGTGGAGTAGATTATCTAACTCCATACCCTGAGGTAGTCCACAAACCCTGCACCAGAACTGTATCACAACAGTACCGTACTACACTGCATTACTGATACAACAACATATGTGCTCTCCACCAGCTTTATCCTAATACTTTTTAAATGTCTGTAGCATTCTCCCTGAGAAGACCTGGATATGCTCTGCAAGCAGTAAATTAGAGTACACAGAACCCTGGATAAACATGATTTCTTGAGCATCATTCATGAGTGCACAGGGATTTATATAACATGACTGTTCCACAGCTCTAGCACTTGCTGCTCTCAAAATTCACGTGAACTCGGTGGGGATCTTTGGGAACAGGTCTCAAATGACGGGCATTTCTGTAATAATCTTCTGTGTCCTGTAAGTCACCTCAAACGTGGCATTGCAGAGCCCAGGCAGGGTCTGTTCCTGTGCAATCACCACCCTCACAATGGGATTGCAGGCTGTGTAAATCAGTGCGGAATTGAGTCTGGAGACTTGAGCTGCCATGAACATCTTAAAAGAAGATTACACCCATGTAATAACGCACAATCCTTTGCCAATCCCTAAAGAAGAGCAGGGCAGGGAGGGGGGGACGGGGCCTCGGTAAGCAGGGGGAGAACAGGGACAGGGGGCCAGAATCAGATTTCTCAGCCAGCTCAATCCTGGTTATCCTGGAGTCCAACCCTAACTCAGGGATCCAGAATCTCTGCAGCTCTAAGCCTGGTACACTCAAGCCTGCTGGGTCGCTGGCCCATCCTTCCTCAGTGGTCTTGCTACAGACACACAGCCCTGAGCTGAGTGGCTGAATACAGGGAGGTCAGTCTCCAGAGCCCAAAGGTGGTTTCTTCATCTTCTCAAGCAATAACATAATCTGTCCACAGCTTCTGTTTTGGCTCTGTGGAGCCAGGCTGATCCTCTGGATGTAGGATCTAGTGCAGAGGGAATGGATGGTGTCGGCATGGGCATTCAGCCTATCTCTGCACCATTCTTCTCACAGTCTTTCCAGCACAGGCTCAGTGGGGGCTGCATCCTTCAGGACTCAGGAGAGGACACACAGAACATTTCTACACCTTCAGCCACAGTTGGGCATGGTTTGCCCAACTTCAGCCAAGTTTGGGCATGCCCAAGTCCTAGGTAAGGGAGAAAGGGACTGGCTTGGCTGGAGGCGCCAGCCTGCAAAACCTCACACAGGATAGAAGGGGACTTGAGCATTGTTCCCTGTCCTGTTTGCTAAAACACAGCGCTCTGAAAGACCAGACAAGACTTACAGCTAATCTCCAGCTAGTGCCTTGTGTTCCCAGGGAACACAGCCCACTGTCTTGTAAATCAGCCAGTCCCCAGCCAAACAGATGGACTCAAACAGCCAGGAAGCAAGATGCTGGCATCAAAGGTTGAGATGAAAATCAAAGTGGTTGGGATTACAGAGATGACTGCTCTTTTGAGGCTGGGCTTCTTATTCAAGGGATGTAATTTGACTATCCAACCTAAATTTTTTAATTGGTTTTAGACAATAACCTCCTGTGCTAAGACAGTGTTAGGTGAACTGGATTGGGATCAGAGTGCATAAAGATTGCACTGGGAGGGCAAGATGAAGACATGTAATAAAATTACAGAGAACAAAACATGAAGATGGAAAAGGGAACAGGAATCCTGTTACCCTGATCCCCTAGCAGGAAGAACATGGTACTTAATGAAAGATGAACTGCAAAGGACAGATGTACACTTACTGCTGAAATGCAGAGGTGTGCAAGTGAGCAACTCTAACACCAAGGCAACCTGCTTATAAGAATATAAACACAAGCAAGAACGTCTGCATGAGTAGAGTTAACTGTGCCATTGCTCTCTGAGCAGCAGGTCCCCCCAGCACTCAAGCTCAAATCCCTTGAACTTTTCCAATTGCAGATCATCCCACAATTCACTTGTTTGTCCCAAAGAGTCAGGTCCTGGCAGTGTCAGAGCTAGCTGTCCAGGACAGGATCTCTGGGAACTTCCACCGCAAAAATTATACAGCCACTATCTTTGGAATTTTTGAAATTTTGACCTCCCTGCAGCTCAAAGTCTGAAGCTGTGCCCTGCATTGACGTTTGGCTTTGACCCATGAATGACAGCCACATTCTCTGTTCATCACAAGGCAGCAATGTCCATCACTCTGCTTTTTCAATGTGGTGGTTTTTTTTTTGTTGTTTTATTTTGTTTGTTTGTTTGTTTTGTTTGGTTTGGTTTTTTTCCCCAGAAAGCTCTTCTCTGGCAAAAGCAAAGTTTCAGAGCACCCAGGGGAAAAATGGGTTGTACAACCTGAGCCACACTTGAGCCCTTCTGCATCTCTAGCCTTGCAGCCAGGGACCTTAGAGAAGTGTGGCTACCAGCTCTGTGTACCACTGTGCTTGACTCCTGGCAGGCATGGTCTCAACTCACCTGCACAGCTGGCAGCCAGCTCTCATCCTCCACAGTCTCCAAGGGCTGAACCAAGTTCCAGCTCTTCAGGCAGAGGAGGCCGTCCCCACTGCAGCTGGAGGCACCCTGGACCAAGGGTATGCCAGGGTCACTTATGCCCTTTTGACAACTTGTCCCATGCTCCAAATTTCAGCTATTCCTGCCCTTCTGGATGATCTTCTTCCCATCTTCCGAGTCCCAGTTTTTTTGGCGAGGGCCGTGCACCGCTACTTGCTGGGCTGGAATCCATCCTTCCGAGGCTGACATTGAACATGACTGTCAGACAACAGGGCCAGCCCCGATGTGTGCCATGCACAGCAGCTCAAGGCAGCACCATTTTGAGTGGCCTCCTGCCCAGCTTTGCTTGTTTCCTGCAGGAGATGTGGGGAATGCCCCACACAGGCGCTCCTGCCCTCGAGAACAAGCTACATCCGCAGGAGAGCACCGAGCAGACAAAGCAGTGCAAGCAAGACCTGCCGTGCTGAGGGTGCAGCTCATCCCCTGGGTGCTGCCAAGCTCTAGCCCTCTGGGTCCGGGCCCCTATGCCCCCCACCGGTGCAGCCGTACCCTCTCTTCGGAGACACTGGGGAGACACATGGTGTCCCCAAAGGCTACTTGTCCCCTCCGGGCTCCCCCTCCCCGGGCGGCTTGGTGCTGACGGCAGCACGGGGCTTTAACTTTCCCTGCCGGATCAAGGGCCTTCTGTAACCGTATCGCGGCCTCACACCTCTGTCCCCCGAGAGCATCCGGCCACCATGTGCTAGATGGGGGCGGCGGGGCGGGGGTCTCTCTCCTCCCACCCGAGCCCGAGCCCCCAGGCCTGCTGGGCCTCCGGCTGCGGGCCGGCCGGGCAAGCGGGCGCTGCACCCACGGGTCCGGCCCCGGGCGGTGAGCGGCTGCCGGCGGGGCCACGGGGAAACGGAGGGGGCGGACAAGGCGGACGAGGACCGGAGGCGAGAGGGCAGGCAGGAAGGGAGGAGACAGCGGCGGGAGGGCGGGGAGAAGTTTATTCCCGGAGACACCTCTTCAGGGCGCGGCGGGGGAGCTGCCCCGAGCCGGCGACTGCTCGCCCCGCGAGGTTGGGACATGCGCCGCGGCGCTGCCGCCCGGGGTTAGTCACGGCGGGGCGCCGGCCCCGAGTTTTCAGCCAGACGAGAGCGGCGGCAGCTGTAACCAGTGTCTCTGGCGTACGGGCCGAGCGCGGCCGCCTGCCTCCCGCCCACCGCTCTCTCCCTGCTTCCCTTCCTCTCTCCCGGGTGCGTGCGGACAGATAACAATGGTGGGGCGCAGCCGCCGGGCCCCCGCCCTCGCCTAGTGGAAGCGAGTGCCCCGCGGCCGCTGCTCCGCCGCCCCGCCCTGCGGCGGCCCCGAGCCGCGGACCGCGTTGCTGCCGGCGGCGGTGCCGGGAGGCGATGGTGCCTGCGCCGGGGTTAGTCTGATCGCCGCTCCCCGCCTCGCCGCCTCCGGTGCCGGCGGCGCTCCCGCGGGGCCAGCGCCCGCCGCCTCCCCGGCTCGCTCGGGCGTGCGGCCGCCTGACACAACTTGGGAGCTCCTCCAGATAAACAAGAATAATTAGTGATAATAATTTAGAACAAGGCGGAGAAGCAGAAGAAGCGAGTGGATAATGTCAACCCCGAGCAGATTCAAAAAGGACAAAGAGATTATAGCGGAGTATGAAAGTCAAGTGAAAGGTAAGAGCGGGGAGGCAGCGGGAAAACCGCCGCGGGGGCCGGGCGTCCTGCCGGCCCCTTTCTCCGGCTGCCGGCCGAGCCGCCACCACCGGCGGGGCGGCCGGTCCCAGTTGCCCGAACTTCGGGCGGGAGGGAGCGGAGAGAGGGCGGCGGAGGCTTTTTCCCCGCCGCAGCGCTCCGATCGGCGCCGGTGGGTCCGAGGGTCCGGGCCGGACGGCAGCTGCGGCGGCTCTTCCCCGGCCGGGCACCTTCCCTTCCTCCACCGGCTTCGGTAACGCCCGGGGGGGTGGGGAGGGAAGGGGAAAGGGAGGACAAAAAAAAAAAAAAGCTTGTCAATTACTGGGGCGAGAGACAATGCTAAGCCTGCCCTTTCTTGAGGCACATGGCTGGTGTCTCCCACCCTCCCCTCAGGGCTGTAGTTTCTGTGCTGGGCTGTAGAAGATGGCTAATAAAGAATTACCCTTGAGTACTGAATGAGCCCATTCAGCCATCCCAGGAAGTATTTCAGCCTCGCATCGCCCGGTTGTATCGCATCCAACTATTGTGCCAAGGACAGAGCCGCCAGATCCTGGCTTGAGCCACCGGCGCTTCCAGACCCTCGAGTTTCCTCGCCTAGCGTTTTCCTTCTGGGAGTGTCTTGGGTGGAACGGAGATTGGGAAAGTAGCGACATGGCAGTGGGGTGTGGGTCTCTTGGTGCGCATCCTTTTGGGTGCTGTCGGGGAAAATATTGCACAATATATAAATTGTAATAAATCCAGGGATGGATGCGAACGTGAAACACGGCATTTAAAAAGCTATGCAACATCTGAACTCTCTGCTTTTTAAAATGATGCTGGTGTGCTCTTCACAGAGGTAGGGTGTTCCCTCCTTGATGCTGCCCAGAGTCTGCGATGTGCACAGACGGAGCATGTCCTCATGCAGGTCCGTGGGCTTCAGGAACAGCCTTCCTGCTCCATGCAGGCATGGGCTGGGGACCTTCTATATGAGGCATCTGGAACAGGGTGGGAGGGACCACTCCTCAGCTGTTGAAAGATTTATTGACTTTGTGTACTTGCACAATATATTTCCCTCTCACTTGATCCTATGACATCAATTTTTCAAGGCAATGCTTGTAGTTTTGTTGGGGTTTTTCCTCTTAAAAGTAAAGAGGTAATTTTTGAGTTTTTTCCTTCTTAAGCTTAACTTTCTGTGAAAATACCTGTCACTATTGAAAGTCTTTTTGTGTCCAGAAAAGGATCTGTGCTTAAAATCCGCCAAATAGGTGGGCAGTGAGGCAGTGAGGGGTCTGTGCTGGCAGGTGGGCCACGCTTCAAGTGTCTGTCTGACATGGGCAGGGCCAAGACAGTTCTCACATAGCTGGTGTATTCACTGCCATTGAGCCCTTGAAGGGCTGGCGCTTTTTCCTCTCTGGACAGGGTGCAGATTTGTCTTGGTCACTGAGCATAAAAAATGTTTGAGATCTTAAGCTCATTGCACAGTGTGCAGACTGTTCTTTGCCTCCTCCTAACTTGATTGTTAAAGGCTTAGCCTTTATTATCTGCAGCCAGTTGCTATATATGCCAGTCTTTTCTTTTGAATAATGAAGAAAAGATGCCATGCCCTTCAGCTACATCTATTGTATTGTTTCAAAAGACAATAAAGATGAAGGCATGAAGTTCTCTTGATAACCTGGCTCTCCTTTGGTGTCATGGTCCTCCATCATAATTGCAGAGGGAGGTGGCATTTGTAAATATAGCTTAATAGGAATTTTAACTTGCTTTGCTTCTTTGTGGTGGTCTGGGGTGTGTGCAGTCTGGTCCCACCCAACTGTCTTGCTGGAATTGTTGATCAGCAGCTGTTTGAAAGGTATGCTGGGCTAGATGCTTTTTCTTTAACCAGCAACACTACAATTGTATTTCAGATGGCAAGAATTGTCTGTGCTAAGATACAATCCTGCTTGACACCAGCTGTGATAGTATAAAAAAACAGTGATACCACTCTGTGATACCTTGAAAATCTTTTTGATATTGAGGGTTAAAGGCCTAAGAAATCAGCCCTAATTAGCCAGCAAGATAGCTTTAAGGGAATGTAAATTCAGGAAAGTCAGAACCCTATATACTGCTTGGAATTTCTTATATTAGGTTAGGAGAAAGGGTGTGGCCAAATTGCTTTTGCTGCCTGTGATTTCTGGTGTTTGCAATGGCTGGCTTATGTGTTTAGTTGCTGAAGGATGTGGACAGCTGGGAGCAGACTGGCCCTTTGGGGTCCTCTGGACAGGCGTGTGCACAGGAGTGCAGCAGCACGTACCTCCCGTACCTTGTCGTGAGATTGCACTGAGCACAAGCATTAGTGCTTCAGAAACCGCGCCACTGATGTGTGCAGTTGGAAACCCTGCCCTAAGATGTCTGAGTATTAATACTGAAGGAAGAGGGGCCTGCAGTGTACACGCCCTGTAGGGTATGTATGTGGTGCCATATTTGGAAATGAGGATTTGGTAGTGCCATTCTTCACATAGCTTTTCTGCTCTTAACTCCTCAAATAGGAAGCAGTAACAGATGTTAATTGTCGTGCCTGGTTCCTGGGTGGTGTAAACTGACATATTCTCCTTGGATTTTAGTATCACTAGATTGTCTATTGCTTTAGTAGAGGTCATGCAGGAACAGCAGAAAGTCTGTAAATGTTACCTGTTTGTTAAGCTGAAGTAAACAAAGTACTTCTGACTTGTTGGGTAGAGCGTTTTATTGCACCTTTTTTTGCAATATCCTTGTTCTTCAGTCTACCTTCTGTCAAGAACTGTCCCAGCTGAATCACTAAGGTAAGTGCGTTTACTTCCCTGCACATTGTATAGAAAGCAGAAGAATATTTCTTAAGGATGTTTTAATACTGAAGTTAGATCTGTCTAACTGGATACCTATACATGTTGTTTTGGGAAATGTAAGAATATTATAATGGCATAGGTACCTTACTTTGTAGACATAAAGGCACCTGGAAAGTAACATAACTAATAAAATATTCCTGGTCATCCACAGTATAAGTTGTATCTATGTTTTTCTGAAGAATGTGGTAATTTTATTTGCACTCTGAAGTTATTAGAGGTAGTTTTACCAACCTTGCAGCTGGGGTGGGGGATACAACTAGAGCTAGAAAGTGGAAGGAATACTTTTTAGATGAGCAACAGACTAGTGGTATAGTTATGAGCCAAGTATTAACTTTCTGCTGTATGACCCTATTAGACTAACAGACAGCATGGCTTAACTCAAGGCTCAGTTGCCTATAGTAGCCTATCTTACTTTTTGTATTCTGAGGGTCAGTGCTCCTTGGTACTGCTGATAATGTCAAGCAATGTCTATTGATAAAGTTACTGAGCAATTCATACTAGTGAAGAAATCATCCTCTGATGTCTTTGAGTGGGTGTCTTGAGTATGGTAAAGGGTGAGCTGGTGAGATCTTGAATACCTGACTCCCTCTGGAAATTTATCCTCTGAAAAATAAGTGTCTTGGAGGAGCAAGAGGATTAGGGATATACTGCTCCAGAGCTTTTCGATCATTAATGTTACACTGGCATGTTTGCCTTCTTAGGGCTTGTAACTGGCCTTCCATGGACAGGAGAAATGTGCTTTGACTAGGTGAGCATTGTACCGACTAATTATCAGGCCTGTCTATTCAGAGAGATCTCCGTATGGTGTGAACTGTTGAGAATCATTGCAGTTTAAGTCTCAGCCTTCTTACGCAACTGCATCTCTGACTGAAACGGCTGAGGGAAGAGCTGCTTAGATCCTTCCTATTTCCACCTTAATTTTTCATTTGGAATTGATCTACTGGAAATGCAAGCCCAAAAGCAGTTTGCAGAGGAAAAGACTTCCCCAAGATCAATATTTGCATGGTCTTCTTCAGAACAAAATACTCCTATTTTTCATCAGAAAGAACTTGGTAGCAGGCTGTATTACATTGCCTAACTAATTTTTATGGAAAACGAAAATTCTGAATTGTGGAGCTGAATTTCTACTTCACATTAAAACAACAACAGAAGCCTCTCTGAGAAAAGACTTGAGTTCTGAAGTACAAATTCGGCTGTTGTTTTAGTAAACTGATAGCTATTTTGAATAAAGTCTTTGTAATGAAACATTTGGTACCTTGGATGATGCCAGAATTCTTGAGGTTTGTTTTAAAAAAAGCTGATGAATAGATGCCAGTTTTCAAAGTTCAAGTTTATCAAGTGTGGTTTAGCAGAAATTTTTCTGGTCAAAGAACTTGACCGCACACAGTACTTTGTTTGATACAGGAAGGATATTGTTCTCCATGCTATTTTCCAGTTGGAGTTATGTTGTCTAATGAAGTTCCTTATCTTTTCCCCCACCATTTTCTCCCAGCTCTCTGATCCTTCCTTTCAGAGTACAAACTCCAGTTGCCCAGGTACATGTTAATGAGTTTGCCCAGGTAAATGTTAATGAGTTTGTAGTTGACTATGCAGCTGAAAGGGGTATCTGCAAGACAGTTCAGTCATAAACTGAACAGTTTTTTGGTTGGTTTTGGGTTTGGTTGGTTTTGGGTTTTGTCTTGTTCTGTTTGTTTGTTTTGTTTTTTAGTTAACCAGCATATTCAGTACTCTTACTCTTCCACAGCATTCTTGGAATGAAAACGAAGGGACTTGGTTTATTACTATGCTGTGTACCAAAGTATTTGGGTTATGGGGGAGCCCTACAAAATGCCTGCTTCCCAAAGGTCATGACTCAGGAACTTCAGAGGTTTTGGCTTCTTAGTCTTTCTATGTAATTAAAGAAAAAAACCCCACCTTTTCTTCATGTCTTTTTGAAAATACGACAAAGAGTCAGGAAAGTACACTTTTTTTCTTGGTTTGACCACACACTGTAGGTGCTGTGTTCCTGCAGCACAGTGAAACTACATTATTTTACTTGAATTTAAAGGTGAATGAAGTCTTGATTACTATAGCACACATGAAAAGATAGGTAGTGAATGGATTGTCTGAACAGTGTTTCTTTCTGGCAGTATGGCACTCATA